ATATCTGTGATAATTGTTTCAATGCCCACCCCCAAATTCATCTATGCCCCACCTACTCCTCCTTACTTCTCTACTTCCGGCAACCATTGATCTTTTAACTTTCTCCATCATTTTGCCTTCAAGCTTGCCATCCTCTTGCCTTAGCCTTCTGAGTACTGGCATTACCACTTTGTGCCACCACAAAGGTTGAGATCAAGTCTTCTTTTCCTAACCAGATAGTAAATAATATGGTTTGGGTTTGGGTGGTGGGTTTCAGATGCAGGCCCTCTGCCTCTGAGCCACACCCCCAAAGTCTTTGTATTGCTTTAATATTAATTTGAAGTTCCCTGGTGATAACAAACATGGAGTGGTATTTTCATATGTTCATTTGTTAGTTGTATATTCCTTGCTAAGATGACTTTAGATTATTTTTTCACTAGGGTTGTTTCTTTTTCTCTTTTTGTTGAGTTTATGTTCACTGTCTACTTTGGCTAACAGTCCATCAGACAAATGGTCTGAAAACATTTTTCCGAGGTCTGACTCCCAGGTTCCATCTCTTGCTCTCGTTCTCTCGAATTCTGTCTTGATGGTAAACACCTTTAAACTGTGTCGGCTTTGGTTTGTTTGTTTTGCCTTGTAATTGTTGTTTCATCTCACAGTGCAGACACAAGGCCTTGCACATACTAGGCAAGTGCTCCATCCTCAAGCTCTCTGCAGCTCAAGTCACCTCTGATAGCTGAACATGATGTCCTGGTTAAAAAGAATTTCCAGAAGCAGGCCTTTAGTAAAGTGCTAAGTTGAGGGGGAAAGGGAAGCAGCCTAGGGCCTAGGATTTAGTTTTAATCTTTTCAGTGAGCATATGATTCTCAGCAGCGGCCTTCCTTCTCAAGTGCTTTTCAGTCATCGTCCTCCTCATGGGGCAAAAGATGGCTGTAGCAGCTTGGATTTGGTTGTTCTGTCCCCCCAGGTCAGGGAGGCTCTGTGAGAAACTCTGCAGTTAGACATTGGTTAACTAGTTTCTCCTGAGCTGGTTAAGAAGTAGAGTGCTCTGGTATATTTCACAATGATTTCTTTCCCTGTACTTCTGCCGGGGGCATCAGGGAATCTTTCTCAGTATTTGCTATGAGAACCTGATAAGCTCATAAAAACATAGGACTCTTCCTTCCCCAATGTTTGGATCCCCTGGAGTTTTTAAAAGTGTGTGTGTGTCTGTCTGTCTGTCTTTCTGTCTGTGTATGGATGGGCATGTGCACATGAGAACAGGTGCCTCAGGAGGCCAGAAGCATCAGATCCCCAGAGCTCCAGTGGTTATGAGCCACCCAACATGAAATTTACTGGGAATGGAATTTGGATCCTTTGCAAGAGCCCTCCAGCCCTGCCTTGGAGGTTTTTCTCTCTCAGATTCCTCCATACTGAGCCTCCAACAATTCATCACAGTTTAAGTTTTCCTATCCCAGCTAACCCTGGTTCCCTTGAAGGGGAGCCCATCAGTCTCTCCAATAGTGAAGGCAGTATGTTCCATGACCTTAATTGTCGATGGGACTTAAGTTATTGATGAAAGGACTCTGGCCAACTCGATTATAGGAGCATGGCTCTAGCAGGCCTTGCCCTTCTCCCCAATTCCCTTTGCATTGCTAAAACAAACAAACAAAAACACATTAGATTACATTCCTGAAGCTAGCCACCAAGGTCTGTTCCCTTACTTGGCTACTTCCTCCTCCTGAGGTTGACTACCAAGGTTCAGCTATCCAAGTATTGAAGTCCAGCAATCAAAAGCCCCCCTTGGCCCACCTAATTAACCTGCCCAATTAAAATTAAACACCTCATCCTAACACAGGGTTTTCCCCTTTACCTTTATAAACCACCATTTGCCTATTGGCCATGTGTGTCTCCTCTTTATCCAGAGGCTGTCCTTTGTCACTCCAGAACAAATGTCCCTGCCCTCTCTCCTTCTTCCTCTATCTACTGCTTGTCTCTTATCCCCTACCCTCTTTGTGCTGAAAGCTTGGTCTTGGGGGTCCTGGGCCCACAGTTCCTTTCAGTTGAGTTTTCATTTTGTTCAGGAAGATCAAGAGAAATCTTTCAAAGTTCTGAAATGTCAGGTTGGGAACCAGAAACCAACGTGTAGTATTTTGAGGAGAGGAGTGTTGAGACAGGGTTGCACTCTGTAGATTAGACTAACCTAGAACTCACTATGCAGACCAGGATGGCTTGTGCCTAAGGGTGCAATATTTAAAAGAAAATATTTAACCACATCAGTAGTCCCTGTACACACACACACACACACACACACACACACACACACACACAAATAAGAGACATGATTATTAAAAAAATATTTATTAATTTTTACACTTGCTGGGTAGCACAAGACTATTAACACTATAACTCACTGACTATACAATAAGTGTTCACATTTAAATAACAGCATAGAATCAATACTTTCAACCGATGGGCCAGCTTCAGCATCTCATTAGGTGCTTCTTAGCTCCAGATATTTGGAGAATCTTTTTTTGAAAGGATAATTCCAGGTCAGAAAATAATTCAAGAACATCAAAACAGAAAGTCTTTCCAGAAAAACAGGAATCTTACATGATGAAATATCCATTTCTCTGGGTACAGACTAAACAATGAAAATGTAAAAAAATCTATATCCAACCCACTTCAAAATATTCACACTGTACTGAATACTGCAGTCTACAGTGTCGTTGATATATCTGGGGAGACATCACCATGTAGACATACATGTCCCCAAATCAGGCTGTCAGAGGGATTATACTCTGCCATCCCTTCTGATGCCTCAGGATAAATTCATAAAACACCTGATCTTAAAGTGGCAATGTCTTCACTGTCACCCACATCTCTGGTTGATGATAGATGTTATGGTATTTATTTACTCCACAT